AGTTTGAAATGCATTAATGGTATGTGGACACTTTTAATCGTTTTCAATTTGACCTAGTTTCTTTTTTTTTTCCTGCCCCCACCTCCAGCACCACTAATTTTGAGAGTCTTGTTGCTATTATTATTTTTATTTGTTTGTAGAACAAATAATCAATGATAAGTTTTTTTTTTTTTTTTTTTTTTGTATGTCGAACAACCGGCCGACAAAGTTGCAGTGGGAAATGGAAAATGCATTTAATTGTTATCGCCAAATGTGATTACCAAACAGCCGATGAATGGGTTTTGAATCGGAAACTATCTTTGTAAAGAGAGAGAGAATTGTGACACATTTTTTTTTGGTTTGGTTTTTAAAAAAGAAGATATGAGCTTTTTATTGTTTTCCTCCAGCCACGATGGGTGACTGTGAGTGATTGTAGTTCGTGTGAATTGGTAGGCTTTCTCCAGCCCTCTTTGAACTCAAAGGTCCAGAGATAAAGAAACACTTTGTGAATGGATGCAGGGTCTCTTTGGAAGACTAGGTTCCCAGGCTTTGGATTTCCATTGAAATCTGCTATCAAGAGTCATTTGTGTACCATGTATCTGAATGTGTGTGCTAATTATTGAATTTTAATGTATGGATGGAAGATAGAATAGAAGGCACAAATGTGGATTTTGTAAAAATATTCTTTTATGGAGTCCCAAAAAACGGGGATTTTTAAAAATATTTTTTTATGGAGTCCCAAGAAACGTGGATTTTTAAAAATATTTTTTTATGGAGTCCCAAGAAACGCGAATTTTTAAAAATATTTTTTTATGGAGTTCCAATAAACATAGATTATTTTAAAATAGTTTTTAAAGAGATCCAACAAACGTGGATTTTTTTAAAAATAATTTTTAAGGAGTTCCAATAAACGTGGATTTTTAAAAATATTTTTTTATGGAGTCCCAATAAACGTGGATTTTTTAAAAATATTTTTTTTATGGAGTCCCAAGAAATGCGGATTTTTAAAAATATTTTTTTATGGAGTTCCAATAAACATAGATTATTTTAAAATAGTTTTTAAAGAGATCCAACAAACGTGGATTTTTTTAAAAATATTTTTTAAGGAGTTCCAAGAAACGTGGATTTTAAAAATATTTTTTTATAGAGTCCCAAGAAATGCGGATTTTTAAAAATATTTTTTTATGGAGTTCCAATAAACATAGATTATTTTAAAATAGTTTTTAAAGAGCTCCAACAAACGTGGATTTTTTAAAAATGATTTTTAAGGAGTTCCAATAAACGTGGATTTTTTTAAAATATTTTTTAAGAAGTTCCAATAAACGTGGATTTTTTTAAAATAAATTTTAAGGAGTTCCAATAAACGTGGATTTTTTTAAAATAATTTTTAAGGACTTGCAATAAACGTGGATTTTTAAAATAATTTTTAAGGACTTCCAATAAACGTGGATTTTTAAAAAAAATTTTTAAGGAGTTCCAATAAACGTGGATTTTTAAAAAAAAATTTTAAGGAGTTCCAATAAACGTGGATTTTAAAAAAAAAAATTTAAGGAGTTCCAATAAACGTGGATTTTAAAAAAAAAAAATTTAAGGAGTTCCAATAAACGTGGATTTTTAAAAAAAAATTTTAAGGAGTTCCAATAAACGTGGATTTTAAAAAAAAAATTTTAAGGAGTTCCAATAAACGTGGATTTTTTTAAAATATTTTTTAAGGACTTGCAATAAACGTGGATTTTTAAAATAATTTTTAAGGACTTCCAATAAACGTGGATTTAAAAAAAAAAATTTTAAGGAGTTCCAATAAACGTGGATTTTTAAAAAAAAATTTAAGGAGTTCCAATAAACGTGGATTTTTAAAAAAAAATTTTAAGGAGTTCCAATAAACGTGGATTTTTAAAAAAAAAATGTAAGGAGTTCCAATAAACGTGGATTTTAAAAAAAAAATTTAAGGAGTTCCAATAAACGTGGATTTTTAAAAAAAAATTTTAAGGAGTTCCAATAAACGTGGATTTTTAAAAAAAAATTTTAAGGAGTTCCAATAAACGTGAATTTTTAAATGTTTTTTTTTTCAATTCTTTTTTAAAAAACGTGAATTTTTAAATGTTTTTTTTCAATTCTTTTTTAAAAAACGTGGATTTTTTAAAATCTTTTTTTAATAAAATCCTTTTTAAGGTATTTTTAAAGTCTTTTTTTAATAAAAATGTTTTTTTTTAATATTTTTTAAAGTCTTTTTTAATAAACGTGGACTTTTAAAAATATATTTTTAAAGCCTTTTTTAATAAAAGGTTTATAAAGGTTTTAATAAACATGGATTTTTTAAAATATTTTGTTAGTCTTTTCTTAATAAAAGTCTTTTTTAAAAATTATTTATTTTATTTTTTTTATTTTAAGTCCTTTTTTTTAATAAAAGTGGATATCTAAAAAAATATTTTTTAATCCTTTTTTAATAAAAAAAAGGTTTTTTAAAAATATTTTTAATGTCATTTTTTAATGAACGTGGATTTTTAAAAACCATATTTTAAAGGCTTTTTTAATAAAAGTTTTTTTTTAATATTTTTAAAGTCTTTTTAATAAATATAGATTTTTAAGAAATATATTTTAAAGCTTTTTTTTAATTTATTTTTAAAGTCTTTTTTTAATAAACGTTAGTTTTAAAAAAAAATAAAATAAAGCCTCTTTTAATAAAAGATATTTTTAAAACCTTTTTAATGAACGTGGATTTTTTTAAAAATATTTTTAAGTCTCTTTTTAAAAATAGTGGGCTTTTTAAAATATTTTTGAAAAATGTTTTTAAGTCTTTTTTTATAAAACTGGAATAAAAAAAATTAGTCTTTTTTAAAAAATATTATTTTTAATAAAAGTGAATTTTTTAAAAATATTTTTTAAAGACTTTTTAATAATAAAAAGCATTTTTAAAAATATTTTTTAAAGTCTTTTTTATAAAAGTGGATTTAAAAAAGTTAGTCTCTTTTAAAAAATATTTTTTAATGAAAGTGGATTTTTTAAAGAAATGTTTTAAAGACTGTTTATTAATAAAAGGCTTTTTTAAAAATATTTTTAAAGTCTTTTTTAATAAACGTAGATGTACAAAAAATATTTTCAAAGCCTTTTTTAATAAAATATATTTTTTAAAGCCTTTTTAATAAATGTGGATTTTTTTAAATATTTTTTAAAGTCGCTTTTTAAAAATAGTGGGCCTTTTAAAATATTTTTTAAAGTCTTTTTTTATAAAAGCAGATTTAAAAAAAAAATAATTTTTTTAAAAAATATTTTTTAATAAAAGTGGATTTTTTAAAAATATTTTTTGAGACTTTTTATTAATAAAAAGCATTTTTAAAAATATTTTTTAAAGTCTTTTTTTATAAAAGTGGATTTAAAAAAGTTAGTCTTTTTTAAAAAATATTTTTTAATAAAAGTGGATTTTTTAAAAATATTTTTTGAGACTTTTTTTTATTAATAAAAGGCTTTTTTAAAATATTTTTAAATTCTTTTTTAATAAACGTAGATTTACAAAAAAAAATATTTTCAAAGCCTTTGGATTTTTTTAAAAATATTTTTAAGTCTCTTTTTAAAAATAGTGGGCTTTTTAAAATATGTTTTAAAATCTATTTTTTATAAATGTGAATTTAAAAAAGTTAGTCTTTTTTAAAAAATATTTTTTAATAAAAGTGGTTTTCTTAAAAATATTTTTTAAAGACTTTTTATCAATAAAAGGTTTTTTTAAAAATATTTTTAAAGTCTTTTTTATTAAACGTAGATTTACAAAAAAAAATATTTTCAGAGGCTTTTTTAATAAAAGATATTTTTTAAAGCCATTATTAATAAAAGGCTTTTTTAAAAATACTTTTAAAGTTTTTTTAATAAACGTAGATGTACAAAAAAAATTTTGAAGCCTTTTTTAATAAAAAAAAATTTTTAAAGCCTTTTTAATACACGTGGATTTTTTCAAAAATATTTTTAAAGTCTCTTTTTAAAAATAGTGGGTTCTTTAAAAATATTTTGTTTTGGTCCCAAAAAATGTTGATTTTTTTTTTAAAATCTTTATTTTTGAGTTCAAATGGTCGTGGATTTAAAAAAAAAACATATTTTTTCATTTCTTTTTTTTTCTCTATTTCTTATTTACATTTTTAAAATTAAAAACATTCCACCTCTCTTTCAAAGAAAATTATTTACTCCTTTGCCATTGTCGTTTTAGTTATATTAATTAATTTAGTTTTTCACCTGTCTTCCATTTCCGTCACTGGCGGTTCAGACTAATTGAAGTCTGTCAGTTTTATTGTTCTAAGCAGCTTCTTGTTCTGTTGCGCATTTTTTTTTTTTTTTTTTTTGACACACGAGTAGCTTTTGCACTGTCTGAGGTTATGAGAAAGTTTACCAACAAATAATATTGTATCCATTTCCAATAACACTATTTTCCCATGCAGGTTGCCCTGTAGGGCCATGGTCTGTGGTGTGGGTAAAATAGTTTGAATATTTACATGTATGCCACGAAAACTTTCTTTGGAAACCATTTAAATGGTTTTAAAAACCAAATAGAATATTTGGTTGACGGGGTATCGAGTTCATTTTGTGGGGAGGAAAATATAAAAATAAAATTATTTGAATTTAAAAATATTTTTTTTTAAATTTAAAAATATTTTTTTTTTAAATTTAAAAATATTTTTTTTAAATTTAAAAAAAAAATAAATTTCCTGGTGACATGGAAAAATTCGCTGAAAATTGCCCTCTCTGAATATTTAAAGGCTCCAAAGCAATCAAGCAATTCAAAAAAAAAAAATATTTTTTTTTTTTGCAACAAAGGTCTACACAAAACTCTCCCAAAACACTCACCTTGTCTCTACAAACCAGCAAAGCCACATTTCAGCAAATTCAACATACTTAGCAGAGACATAAACCTCCACAGAATGTTACCAAGTAGTGTTGACAACACTTGACACTTGAGTGGGGCCAACCTCCAAGAAAATATTTTAAATTTTATTTTTCAAAATTTATTTTGTTGATTTTAATATTTTCCCTTTTCTCTCTTCTCCCAGGAATTACAAAACGACTTATCCTTTGATGACACCTTCGACATTGATCAAATCGACGATTCAAAATTGCGCAGTTCCCGCGACCTGGAAGAGCAAGCCTTCATCGAAGATGAACTCCAGCCGGTAGATGAGGCCGAGGCCAACAGCGAAGGCAGTTGGCTGGTGCAGAGCGTTAAACGTGTCCGCCGTGAGTTGGGACGTTTGTTCGGTGCTGAGAACAAACAAGCCGCTGCCGGTGGCAACAAGGTACGCAAACATCACAAAAAACGTTCGGAACGTAATCAAGCTGCCGGTGCTGCTGCTGGAGGTAAAAAGACTCATGCTGAGGGCCACAAGAAAGCCCAACAAAATGGTCATACCAAACAGGCCAATGGTGCTAAATTGCAAACGAAACCAAAGAGAAATCACAAATTGCAAGCCTTGAACCGCCACAAGAAACGTCAATTGTTCGGCGATGAGAATGAGGGTTCCGGCTTCGGCAATGGTGATGATGAAGATGCGCCCATTGATGATTTTGGTGAAACTGATTTGTGTAAGTGAAAAAAAGATTCAAACAAAATTTGAAAAAATAGAAAAAATTTTCTCTGCTGCAGAGGAACATTATTTTCTATAGAAAAAAATCATTTGAAGCTGGAAAAGAAATTTTTCTATAGGAAACAAATCCTCTGCAGCGGTGAAAGACTTTTCTACGGGAAAAAATTTCCTCTGCAGCAGAGGAAGATATTTTTCTAAAGAAAGAGACGAAGACTTTATTCCTCTGCAGAGGTAACTTGTTTTCTATAGAAAAGAAATTCCTCTGCAACAGAGAAAGAATTTTTTGTAAAGAAAAAAAATCGTCTGCAGCAGAGAACGATTTTTTTCTATAGAAAAAAAATTCCTCTGCGGCAGAGGAACACTTTTTCCTATAGAAAAAAATTCCTCTGCGGCAGAGGTAGACTTTTTCCTATAGAAAAAAATTCCTCTGCAGCAGAGAACGATTTTTTTTCTATAGAAAAAAAATCCTCTCCTCTGCGGCAGAGGAAGACTTTTTCCTAAAGAAAATAATTCCTCTTCGGCAGAGGAAGACTTTTTCCTATAGAAAAAAATTCCTCTGCAGCAGAGGAAGACTTTTTCCTATAGAAAAAAATTCCTCTGCAGCAGAGGAAGACTTTTTCCTATAGAAAAAATGTCTCTGCAGCAGAGGAAGACTTTTTTCTATAAAAAAAAACTACTCTGCAGCAGAGAAAGACTTTTTTCTATAGAAAAAAATCCTCTGCTGCAGAGGATTTTTTTCTATAGAAAATTTTTTTCTATAGAAAAAAATCCTCTGCAGCAGAGAACGATTTTTTTCTATAGAAAAAAATTCCTCTAGGGAAGAGGAATGCTTTTTTTTATAGAAAACAATTCCTCTGCAGCAGAGAACGATTTTTTCTATAGAAAAACATTTCTCAGCTGCAGCTAAATATTTTTTCTATAGAAAAATGTATCTGCGGCAGAGAAAGATTTTTTTCGGTAGAAAAAAAATTCCTCTGCAGCAGAGAAAAATTTGTTTTCTTTATGAAAAAGTCTTCCTCTGCAGCAGAGAACGAGAAAGAAAATTCTCCCTTTTTTTGTTTTTTTATATATATGACTTATTTTTCCCGTCTCCAGGGGAGGCCTACGTTGTTGTCAACCTACCCTGGGATGATGCCTATGAGGATAAGACCAGCGAGGAATTTGCCGCTTTGCAGTCCCAAATCGAGGCGGCCTTTGTTGAGTGGTTCGATGACGAATACGGCTATGAAGAATTTGCCCTGCATGTGGCCCTCATGAATGCCAAGTGAGTAAAATAGAAATTAATTTTTGAAGAAGAAAATAAAAATATTCGAAAAAAAAATCTCTTTACCAGACGTACCGATGACTACTATCGCATGCACTGTACCATCCAAATGGACTTGCCCGAGAAATTCGGCAGCTTTGCCCAACGGGTGCAACATCAGTTGACGTCCTATCGCAAAATGGCCGATTTGGGCATGGAAGCCGATGACCAGTTCTATTTCAGACGTGTGAGAGGTAAGTGTCTTTTTTTGTCGATTGGCAAAAATAGAAAATCTTCAAAAAAATTTTTTGTAAAGGTCCTGGAAATGTCCTTTTGAAAAAAAAAAAAAAACGTAGAAATTTTTGAAATCTAAATTTAGTTTTCCGTTATTCTAAAGAAAGGATAGTAAAATCCTTTGAGTAAAAACCAACCAAAAAAAAAAATATTTTGTGAGTCCTTTTTTAGTCTGAAAAAAAATTAGAAATCATTTTGGGTGTAGTTTGCTATAGATTTTCAATTTCCATAAATATTTCAAAATCAAAAAAAAAAAAAAACATTTGTATTATAAATATATTGTCTTTCAATTCCGAAAAAATACCCAAAACATAATACACAACCCATCCACATTGCTAAATACACATTTTCTCTCTCAAATCCTTCACGCTTCAAATTCAAAAACAACAACAACAAAAACACATTCCAAAACCCCCCTTAGATTTGCAAAATCATGATTTCGTCGATGTCACCGAGTCTGGCCATGATGCTCAAGCTCATAATAATGGTGGTGGTGCAGGTGCTGGTGCCTATGATGGCCATGATAGCAACAACAACAACAATGGTTACTACGATCAAGGACATGGCTATGATGCCAATAATCAGGACAATGGCCATGGCTATTATGATCAGGAAAATGCTGGACATGGTCATGAGGATGGCCACACCAATGCCTATGACAGTACCAATGCCTATGATAACGACAACAACAACAACCATGGTTATGATGATAACAACAACAACAATGGCTATGATGTTTATGGCAACAATAATGCCTATGATCCCTATGGACATGGCAGCACTGAAGACAACAACAACAACAATGGCTATGACAACAACAATGCCTATGATCCCAATGATCCTTATGGCCAAGGTCACACTGAAGACACCAACAACCACAATGCCTATGACACCAACAGTGCCTATGATCCCAATGATCCTTATGCCCAGGGTCACACTGAAGACAATAACAACCACAATGCCTATGATCCCTATGGCCATGGCAACACTGAAAGCAATACCTACGACAACAACAACAACAACAATGGCTATGAGGACAACAACAACAATGCCTACGACCCCTATGCCCATGATCCCTATGCCCATGGCAATACCCACGAAGAACCTGAAGAAGAAGACGAAGAAGAAACCGAACAAGAACACGAAGCCCCTCGTCCCAATATTATGGTATACGACTGTGATCAAAATCCCGATGGTGATTTCCAATGCGCCAACGGTGATGTGATTCCATGCTACAAACGTTGCAACAACTATGTCGATTGCCTGGACGAGAGCGACGAAGAGCCCGATATGTGCAAGGTGGTGTTGGAACGTGAAGAGGAAGAAATCGAAGAAAGCACCAATGAGGATGAGGATAACTGGGGTTCATGGCCAAATGTCAACAAAGGTACACACTCTCACTCATGCTTACAGTACACTATACACTACACACACACACTCACATGCACTCAAACATAACCTCACATAACAAATCACACAAAAATTTAAAAGGCTTTTTTTAAAACAAAAGAAAAGCTTTTATTTACTAAAATAATGTGGCTTAGATTTGTAGCTTTAACAAGGATATCAAAATGAGGTAGGGCTGTTTTTGTTGGATTTTTTCAAAAAAAAAAAAAAAAATAAAAATAAATAAATAAATAAAATAAAAAATAAATTAATTAATAAAAAAATAAATCAAATAAAAAAATAAATAAAATAAAAAATAAACAAATATTTAAAAAAAATATTTTTGAAAAAAAAAATAGTTTTAAAAATCCACTTTTAAAATTGATGTTTGAAAAAAAAAATAGTTTTAAAAATCCACTTTTAAAATTGATGTTTGAAAAAAATATTTTTAAAAATCCACTTTTAAAATTGATGTTTGAAAAAAATATTTTTAAAAATCCACGTTCAATATTGAACGTTGAAGAAAATATTTTTAAAAATCCACGTTCAATATTGAACGTTGAAGAAAATATTTTTAAAAATCCACGTTCAATATTGAACTTTGAAAAAATATTTTTAAAAATCCACGTTCAATATTGAACGTTGAAGAAAATGTTTTTTAAAATCCACGTTCAATACTGATCTTTAAAAAAAATATTTTTAAAATTCCACGTTTAATATTGTTCTTTAAAAAAAATATTTTTAAAAATCCCCGTTCAATATTATCCTTTGAAAAAAATATTTTTCAAAATCCACGTTCAAAATTGATCTTTTAAAAAATATTTTTTAAAATCCATGTTGAATATTGATTTTTGAAAAAAATATTTTTAAAAATACAAGATTTTTATTGATCTTTGAAAAAATATATTTTTTTAATTTAAGTTATTTGTTGGACTTTGAAAAAATATTTTTAAAAATCCACGTTCAAAATTGAACTTTTGAAAAAATATTTTTAAAAATTCACGATCAAAATTGAACTTTGAAAAAAATATTTTTAAAAATCAACGTTCAATATTGATCTTTGAAAAAAATATTTTTTTATCCACGTTAAATATTCATCCTTGGAAAAAAATATTTTTTTAAATCCATGTGGAATATTGATCTTTAAAAAAAATATTTTTAAAAAACCACATTCAATATTGATCTTTGAAAAAAATATTTTTAAAAATCCACGTTCAATATTAATCTTTGAAAAAAATATTGATCTTAAAAAAAATATTTTTAAAAATCCAAGTTCAATATTAATCTTAAAAAAAAATATTTTTAAAAATCCACGTTCAATATTAATCTTAAAAAAAACATTTTTAAAAATCCACGTTCAATATTAATCTTACAAAAAAAAATATTTTTAAAAATCCACGTTCAATATTAATCTTAAAAAAAAATATTTTTAAAAATCCACGTTCAATATTAATCTTAAAAAAAAATATTTTTAAAAATCCATGTTCAATATTAATCTTACAAAAAAAATGTTTTTAAAAATCGACGTTCAATATTAATCTTAAAAAAAAATATTTTTAAAAATCCACGTTCAATATTAATTTTAAAAAAATATTTTTCAAATTTGAACTTTGAAAAAAATACTTTTAAAAATCCACGTTTAACATTGATCTTTGAAAAAATACTTTTAAAAATCCCCATTCAATATTGATTTTTGAAAAAAATATTTTTAAAAATCCACGTTCAATATTCCTCATTGAAAAAAAAAAATATTTTTTAAAATCTACGTTTAATATTGATCTTTGAAAAAAATATATTTAAAAACCCTTGAACGTGAATTTTTGAAAAAAAAATATTTTTAAAATCCCCGTTCAATATTATTCTTTTAAAAAAATATTTTTAAAAATCCACCATCAATATTGATATTTTCAAAAAATATTTTTAAAAATCCATGTTAAATATTGATCTTTGAAATAAAATATTTTTAAAAATCCACGTTCAATATTGATCTTTGAAATAAAATATTTTTAAAAATTCAATATTGAACTTTGAAAAAAATATTTTTAAAAATCCACATTCAATATTGAACTTTGAAAAAAAAAATATTTTTAAAAATCCACGTTCAATATTATTCATTGGAAAAATATTTTTAAAAATCCACGTTCAATTTGATCTTTGAAAAAAATATTTTAAAAAATCCACGTTTAATATTGATGCTTGAAAAAAATATTTTTAAATATCCACGTTCAATATTGAACTTTGAAAAAAATATTGTTTAAAATCCATGTTAAATATTATTCTTTGAAAAAAATATTTTTAAAAATCCCCGTTCAATATTGATCTTTGAAAAAAATACTTTTTAGGATCAACGTTCAATATTTTTTTTTAAATATTTTTAAAAATCAACGTTAAATATTGATCTTTCTAAAAAATATTTTAAAAATTTCGTGTTTATTATTGGTCTAAGAAAAATATTTTAAAAAATCCACATTTATCACACCGTGCGCCAAAATTAAATATTTAAAATTATCACAGGGAAATGACAGCAGATTTTGAAACTAGGGCCTAAAAAGAAAACAGATGTATATATTTTGCCATAAAATTCTACTATAGGTTCTAAAAGACATCAGAAGTCCGAATTTTACTTAAACGCCAGGAAATCATATTTATTAGAAACGCATTAATATCGGACTTTATTTGAATTTCTGCAAAAATCTCCTACAAAGCATTAATTTAGAAGGATGACGCCAGAGACCAAAATATTCCCTATCAAATTTCACTTTATGTCACCATAGAAGAGGAACCTTTATTTCCCATATATATTCGGAAAATCTTTGAATTAATTTTGCCAAAAGAAACCGAAAATAGTTCCTAATTTTTTCATTAATTTTCCCTCGGCCTTTTTCCGAGTCGAACCCCGAAAGTAACATAAAATTTCATTTTAGGCAAAAGTTGCCAAAAAAGAAAATATTCTACACAAAATTTCACTATAAATCTCAGAATCAACCCTATATCTAGGTACAATAGGTTTTAAGAAAATTACATTCGAATTGTATGTAACACAAGTGAAAAATATGAATTTGCCGATTTTTTACTGTTAATTTAATACATTTTCAAGCCAAGTCAAAATCTCCCTTTAAACTTCATTTTTTGGGAAAAATCTCAAAGGCAAAAATATTCTACATCAAATTTCACTAAAGGTCACTAAAGAAAGGAGAACTTGATTTCCATTATATAACCGTAAAATATTTGAATCGATTTTGTCAAAAAAAGCAAAATAGTTACTTATTTTTTACTCAATTTTCCTCGGCCTTTTTTCGAAATGACCCCTGAAAGTAACATAAAATTTCATTCTAGGCAGAAGTTGTCAAAAGAAGAATTATTCTACACAAAATTTCACTATAAATCTCAGAATCAACTCTATATTTAGGTACAATAGTTTTCAGAAAAATTATATTCGAATTGTATGGCATACAAGTGGAAAATATGTGTTTGCCATTTTTTATTGTTAATTTAACACATTTTCAATCCAAGCCGAAATCTCCGTTTATGCTTCATTTTTTTGGAAAAGTCTTAAAGGCAAAAATATTTTACATCAAATTTCACTAAAGGTCACTAAGGAAAAGAAACCTCTCTTTCCCTTTTATAACCGGAATAATATTTAAATCAATTTTGGCAAAAATAGCACAAATATTTCCTTTTTTTTGATGAATTTTTCTTCGGCCATTTTTCGAGTTGACACCTAAAAATAACATAAAATTTCGTTTTATGCAGAAGCTGTCAAAAGAAGAAATATTCTACAGAAAATTTCAAGGTATATCTCAGAATAAACCATATCTCTAGGTACAATCGGTTTTAAGAAAATTACATTCGAAATGTGTGTACCACAAGGGAAAAATATGTGTTGGCCGTGTTTTCTGTTACTATAACACATTTTCAAATCAAGTCAAAATCACCCATTGAACTTTATTTTTTGGGAAAAATCTCATAGGCAAAAATACTCCTCATCAAATTCGACTATAGGTCACCTAAGAAAAGAAAACTGTATTTGTCTTATTTATCCGGAAAATATTTAAATCAATTTTGTCAAAAATAGTGAAAATAGTTTCCATTTAATGGATACATTTTCCTCGGATTTTTTCGAGTTAACCCCTGAAAGTAACATAAATTTTCATTTTAGGCAGAAGTTGTCAAAAGAGGAAATGTTCTTCATAAAATTTCAATATAAATCTCAGAATAAACCATATCTTTAGGTATAGTAGTTTTTATGAAAATTACATTCGAAATGTATTTTTACTGTTAATTTAACACCTTTTCAAGCCAAGTCAAAATCTCCCCTTAAACTTCATGTTTTGGAAAAGGTCTGAAAGACAAAAATATTCCTCATCAAATTTCACTATAGGTCACCAAAGAAAGGAAAACTGTATTTCCCTTATTTAACCGGAAAATATTTAAATCAATTTTGTCAAAAATTGCGAAAATATTTTATAATTTTTTGATAAATTTTTTTCTCGGCCTTTTTTCGAGTTAGCCCCTGAAAGTATCATAAAATTTAATTCTATTCAGAAGTTGTCAAAGGAAGAAATATAAGAATCTCCGAATAAACCATTCCCCTAGGTATAGTAGTTTTTAAGAAAACTACATTCAAAATGTATTTTCACTGTTAATTTAACACATTTTTAAGCCAAGTCAAAATCTCCCCTTAAACTTAATGTTTTGGAAAAGATCTTAAAGACAAAAATATTCCTCATCAAATTCGACTATGGGTCACCAAAGAAAAGAAAACTCTATTTCCCTTATTTAACCGGAAAATATTTAAGTCAATTTTGTCAAGAATAGCGAAATAGAAAATAAACTTATGAAAGTAATGTTAATATTTGGTCATATCCGGTGCATACTTTTAGGAGCTCATTTTATTTTTTCCCCTTTATATCTTAAATATTTCTAACATTTTGATATCCTTGATAAAGTTACAAAATAAAGCTCCCAATTCGTTGACGTTTTTATGCTGCCCGAAAAATATTGAAAAAAAAAAATATTTTTCATAACCCTGCTTTTGTTATCCAATGGGGGTCTATTGTAAGACCCCCCAACTAATCGTAGTTTTATAAAAGGATTTTTACTAACATAACAATGATATAAAGTTGTGGGTATTTAAAAAAAAATATTCCAAAATGCATAGCTAATAAAATTCTAATATTTTTCATTACTCACTTTTTAACTTTTTCTCATTTCATCTGTCATTTTTTTTTTCTAACATAACATTGTAATTAGAAAATATAAACTCATGATTTTTCACGAAATTTCAAAATTCCGGGGAAAGAATTTTCTCGAAAACCAAAATTTATTTCCCACTTCAATTCGAACACCATCACCGCATTTTTCTCGTCCACATAATCAATGAAATCCATTGCCACAATTAGTTCCCATTTTTTTCATTCACTGTCGCCTCTACCCAGCTATGGCTTTTGAACTATTCGCATTTTCCAATTTCCATTGAAAAATCTCTCCTCATCCGTTTAGCTCACAAAATTTTCATTAACGTATTTTTTGGAAACGTAAAAAAAATTCTCTCTGTGTCTCTACGTCTTGGGTTCCCACAAAAATATATATCTTTTATTGCTGTTTGTTTGTGTGGACCCACTGTGCCTCTATGTTGTGTCTGTCCCCTGGGGTAACTTTGTTGCAGCTCTCCTAAGCTTGGCTTTTTCTCTAATAAAACCCCTGCGAAAAATGCCTGAACTTAGTTAGAAAAAAATTGTTGTTTTGAAAACTATCCTCCATCTAATTCGGAAATTTAAACTTAAATCTTAGAAACAAGCACCGATGATTCTTGGGGTACTCCGGAATCACATCCTGATGCCGGACATCATGACACCCATGCCGTTGAAGAAGAGGAAGAAGAAAAGGAAGAAGAGGAGGAACATTCTCCCACCTACGAAACAATTGACTATGATCGTCCCATTGATGCCGAACGTCGTGTGGAAGAGCCCGTCAATGCCGGCGGCAATGTCTATGGCGGTGAAGAAGATCATCATCATGGCGGTGCTGGTGGCTTGGACAACAACATTTTCGAATCATCCGGAGACTACTCGCCCGTCACTGAAACCAGTGCCGTCTTTACACCACCCACTGGCTGTCGTGGCGATTCGACCTACACCTGTCGCGAAAGTAATGTTCAAATCTGTGACGAACATTTGTGCGATGGTGTGGAACATTGTCCCGATGGTGAAGATGAACTGAACTGTGGCAGCGACGATGAGTTCAACTATGAAAAGGGTATAGTGCAACTCTCTCTTGTTCTCTCTCATGTTTCTGTGTTTGTCTCTTTAATGTGTGTTTGTGTGTGAAGGGCATCGTCGTCGTCTCATTATCTACACTGTGACTCAAAACTTTTCTGTGCATCTACCCCAAACCCCTACCCAGATCCCAGTTCCCTGTGTTTTAGTCCTTTTTCATTTGTGTCATGTCCTTTCTTTTACAGGTTTAGGCTAAAATGGTGAGAGGTGGAATTATTCTCTTAGAAAAAAAAAACAAAAATTATCTTTGAAAACAAATCTAAATTTAAGAGTAACCGGTTACTCACAAATTAAATTTCCAATTTCCTAATAAAAAAAGACTTCTTAGGGTTATACAATGGTATATGTGGTGATTCAGGCATATTTCCGCATTGAATATAAAAAGTAACCGATTTTTCTTGCACCAAAAAATAGGGAAAATAACCGATTACCTGAACATAAAATTCGTATAATTTAAGGAAAAATCACTAAAACTTGTTATACAACGGTATATTTAGTTTTTCCGACACATAACAACAAAAAGTGCAAAAAGTAACCGATTACTCAAAGACATATTTTCCGAATTTTTTTTATCATAAACTAATTTTTTTTTTCATAAAATCTGTTATACAACGGTAAATATGGTTTTTCCGATAGATTAAAAACAAAAATTGCAAAAAGTAACCGGTTACTCAAAGACATGTTTTCCGAATTTTCTTATCAGAAACGTATTTTCATTTCACGAAACTCATTATACAACGGTATATATGGGTTTTCCGGCAGATATCAACAAAAAAATTAAAAAGTAACCGGTTACTCAAAGACATGTTTTGCGAATTTTCGTATGAATAGCCATGAAAATCGCTATAAAATGACTCAATAAAGCAAATTTACCACTTTCCAACTAATTGCAATTAAAAACAAAGAAAAGTAACCGGTTACTCATAAACAAATTTTGCTAGTTTTCTTACAATAACCATCAAACTGATTAGAGAACGGTTATGGTAGGCAAATATGTTATTTTGAACGTTATATTTTGCTTTTCTGATAGGTAACTTTAAAAAAATTTAAAAAGTAACCGGTTACTCAAAGACATTTTTTGCTAATTTTCTTATGAGTAACCAATGAAAATCAATAAAAAATGATTCAATAAAGATAATTTACCACTTTCCAGCTAATTGCAATTAAAAAAAAAAAAGAAAAGTAACCGGTTACTCATAGACAAATTTTGCTGGTTTTCTTATAATAACCATCAAACTGATTAGAGAACGGTTATGGTAGGCAAATATGTTATTTTGAACGGTATATTTTGCTTTTCCGAGGGATAGCTATAAAAATTTTTAAAAGTAACCGGTTACCCGAAGACATTTTTTGCGAATTTTCTTATGAGTAACCAATGAAAATCAATATAAAATGACTCAATAAAGCCAATTTACCACTTTCCAACAAATTGCAGTAAAAACAAAGAAAAGTAACCGGTTACTCATAGACAAATATCCCTAGTATTCTTACAATAACCATCATTCTCTAACTAGAGAACGGTAATTATAGGAAAAATTTGTTATTTTCAACGGTATATTTTGCTTTTCCGACGGATAACTATAAAAATTTTAAAAAGTAACCGGTTACTCAAAGACATGTTTTGCCAATTTTCTTATGAAATGAAATGAAATGAAATGAAAACGATATAAAATGACTCAATTAAGCAAATTTACCACTTTCCAACGAATTGCAATTAAAAACAAAGAAAAGTAACCGGTTACTCATAGACAAATTTTGCTAGTTTTCTTACAATAACCATCAAACTGGTTAGAGAACGCTTATGGTAGGCAAATATGTTATTTTGAAGCATATTATAGTATTAACTAGGAAAAAGTAACCGGTTACCCAGAAATAAATGTTCCTAGTTTCGAAAATTTTGCTTCAAAAATTTTTAAAAATACAAATAAAATTTTAAAGGAATTAAGGCATGAAGTATAACACTGTCAATTAAGGTATTCAGATCAATATTAGATAGAATGTTTTTCATGGGTACCCGGTTACTTACCAAGATTTCGTTGTGAATTTATTTAAAACTTCGGTAGACAGATTAACAATCCTCTATGTACATAGAATATAAATAAAAACTAAGTTTCAATGACAAAGTATTGATGAGTAACCGGTTACTCGGAAGGATTTTTTTCGCGAAAATTTTGCAAAATAACCACTAAAGTTCAAAATTATTTAAAATACTTCAGAATATAAAAGGTTTAATTGTTTTTAAAGCGACATGTTGACCTTTATCGTAACCGGGTAACCGATTGCTTTCATTGAATTTTTCGTAAATTCAATCAAAACCCGAACAAATTAGTCTTGTTAATGTAAAATATTAAAAAAAAAAAACATAACCCGGCACAATGTAAAATGAAAGCACCAGTAAAATAATCCAGACATTCCGACTCTCTGGATCGGTCCACCACCTAACCTAAAAAAAAACAATTTTTATAATGTCTTGTATAAATATCACCTGTTACTAACTAAGAAAATTGAAAAAAAAAAATTAATATTGAATATATTCACATCTAACAACGTGTTGAAACCATTTTTGTGTGTTTCGAACTCATTTTTTCGAAATTTCTAATAAAATTTTCGTTTTTCTTCTTCTCATCTCTTCGCCTTTCGTGGAATCTGTGACAATGTTTGGGAAAACTACAGTCTGCTCAGCTAATGAGTTTATGTGCGATCAACGTTGTTTACCCATGGAATATCGATGCAATGGATATAATGAATGTAACGATGGTAGCGATGAGAGGGATTGTCCAGAAAAAGGTAAGTTCGATTTTATTTGTTTTCATTTCTTCATATTAAGTATTATCGATGATATTTTGCAATGTGTTATCGATAAAATTTCAGATGCAAAATATTGTTACAAATTATGGTTTGTTGAGGACAATTTTTGTATTGTTATTGAATAATTTCCACTGATATCGATAGCTTTTTTTATATTGTAATGAAATAATCGATAACTTTTCTATGCAGCAATGTTATTGTCGATTACGTTCCTATTGGTTATTATTGGTAATATTTCTGTAAAAAAATGCTTTCGAAAACTATCGATAAATTATTGTCGACAAAACTTCTATAGAGAAACATAATTATCGATAAGTTTTTTCGATGCATTAAAATTTTCTCTTGAGGAAACTTGTTACCAACAACTTTTCTCTTCGGAAAAATAGTTATCGGCAACTTTTCTATTGAGAATAGTTGTTATCGATAGGTTTTCCATCCGGAAAAGTTGTTATAGACAACTTTTCTCTTCGGAAAATTTGTTATCGATCTTCGGAAAAGTTGTTATCGACAACTTTCCTACGCGGAAAAGTTGTTATCGACAACTTTCCTATGCGAAAAAGTTGTTATCGACAACTTTCCTATGCGGAAAAGTTGTTATCGACAACTTTCCTATGCGGAAAAGTTGTTATCGACAACGTTTCTCTCCGGAAAAGTTTTTATCGACAATTTTTCTCTTCGGAAAAGTTTTTATCGACAATTTTTCTCTTCGGAAAAGTTGTTATCGACAGATTTTCTATCCGGAAAGGTTGTTATCGATAACTTTTCTATCCGGAAAAGTTGTTATCGACCACTTTCTCTTCGGAAAAGTTGCTATCGACAATTTCTCTATAGAGAATAGTTTTTATCGACAACTTTTCTATCCGGAATAGTTGTTATCGACAACTTTTCTATCCGGAAAAGTTGTTATCGACAACTTTTCTATCCGGAAAAGTTGTTATCGACAACTTTTCTATAGAGAATAGTTTTTATCGACAACTTTTCTATAGAGAATAGTTTTTATCGACAACTTTTCTATAGAGAATAGTTGTTATCGACAACTTTTCTATAGAGAATAGTTGTTATCGACAACTTTTCTATAGAGAATAGTTGTTATCGACAACTTTTCTATAGAGAATAGTTGTTATCGACAACTTATCTATAGAGAATAGTTGTTATCGACAACTTTTCTATGCGGAAAAGTTGTTATCGACAACTTTTCTATGCGGAAAAGTTGTTATCGACAACTTTTCTATGCGGAAAAGTTGTTATCGACAACTTTTCTATGCGGAAAAGTTGTTATCGACAACTTTTCTATGCGGAAAAGTTGTTATCGACAACTTTTCTATGCGGAAAAGTTGTTATCGACAACTTTTCTATAGAGAACAGTTGTTATCGACAACTTTTCTATCCGGAAAAGTTGTTGTCGACAACTTTTCTATAGAGAACAGTTGTTGTCGACAACTTTTCTATCCGGAAAAGTTGTTATTAACAACTTTCCTATCCGGAAAAGTTGTTATCGACAACTTTTCTATCCGGAAAAGTTGTTATCAACAACTTTTCTATCCGGAAAAGTTGTTATCGACAACTTTTCTTTAGAGAATAGTTGTTATCGACAACTTTTCTTTAGAGAATAGTTGTTATCGACAACTTTTCTCTCCAAAAAGCTGTTATCGACAACTTTTATCTTCGGAAATGTTGTTATCGACAACTTTTCTATCCGGAATAGTTGTTATCGACAACTTTTCTATCCGGAATAGTTGTTATCGACAACTTTTCTATCTGGAATAGTTTTTATCGATAACTTTTCTATCCGGAATAGTTGATATCGACAACTTTTCTCTTCGGAAAAGTTGTTATCGATTACTTTTATCTTCGAAAAAGTTATTATCGCCAACTTTTCTCTTCGTAAAAGTTGTTATCGACCACTTTTTTCCTCTGAAAAGTTGTTATCGACCATTTTTCTCTTCGGAAAAGTTGTTATCGTCCATTTTTCTCTCCGGAAAAATTGTTTTCGATAATGATTCTTAAAGAAATTGTTATCGTTTTTATAATTTTTTCTCTTTTTGCATTGATCAGAAATTAAGACAAATTCCTAATGGTTTCCTATTTTGCCAATCTTTCATATTTGCCGATTTTCCTCTCTTCCCCATTCAACCTCTTCAAAGAAAAATCGCTTTAATTAATAGTTTAGTTTTCAGCTTTCAATTTGAATATTTCAAATGTAGACAAAAACCAGTCACATTTCAATTTTTCTTTTTTTTTTCCTGCCGATTCTAATGGGAAATCAATCGTTTTCCAAATTAATTAAAAATTATAATGACCCTGAACTGAATACTTACATACCATATGCATATATATTTGAATATTGACCGCAAAAAAAAAAAAAAACAATTCGGAAAATATTGCCAAAATGTTGTATTTGTATGTGGGCACAAATAAATTATCTAAAGTTCTGTTGTGATTTAAATTAATATTTTTTTGGGGGGGGAATAACAAAAACGAGCCACTCCTCTTGAAAATGTGGAGCACACTCGGCAACATAGTCTAGGGTAAATTGAATCTATTTTTTTTTTCTGTTTTGGGTGGGGGTGTGTTAAGAAGAAAGGGTGATCTTCCAAGGGAATGGGGATTTTTCGTAAGCTCTCAGTTTTAATGAATGTCCTCCATTTTAATTTTAAAATATTTTTTGGAATATTTTTATTTCAAAATTTAAATTTTACCACCCCTTCTGGAGACCCTTTGCCACCTTAATTTTTTGCTCTCCGCAAAAGGTCATGACAATCCCAACACACAACTTTCATTTGTGGGTGTTGACATCTGCCAGAGATTAGTATTAAATAAATTTTACAAAGCAAAATATTGAAGTGCATTTTCAGCACCAGGGGGAGGGTCCCACAAAGGGGTGGACCAAATTGAAAGTTTTGGTAGAATTTTATTTAAAATGGAAATGTTGTGTTTTGGTCGAAAAATAAAAACAAAAATTAAAATATTTTTGTTGGGACAAAAATTGGATCTTTAGGGGAGGACAGGAGATGTGGTGTCCTTGGCAGGAGGTGAGATCCTCAAAAAAAGATTTAGTAGACCAAGGTCCTTTTTTCAATTTCTCTCTCATCCAATGCCATTTATTTGAAAATAAAATTCTCAGCCATCACATCATTGCCATATTTCCCTGCCTCGACTTTTCGTAGGACTTCCCCCTCCACCTTCAAAAAAAAAAAAAAAAACCAAAAATCACAAAAGACCTGTTAAACGTTTATGTTTTATGTGCTAAGTCAAACAATTTTGTTAAACATCCTGATTTTTTTGCACTTCTCTTTCGAGCCCTTTCATATTGCTTCCCATTTGAGTCCTTGCCAGTCTCTTTCTCTCCATAAAAATGACACTCTGCTCCTTCATCTTTGCATAGCTATCTCACAGATTTCCATGAACTGCTTCTAATTTTGCAAACATTTTAAAACGCCAAAAAAGCATCCTTCATAAGCTAAGTGAGCATTTTGGGAGTCATGTTTTTATTTTCATCCTCAGAAAGTAAGTGCCATAGAGGTCCTTGTTGCTATTACCACTTCAGTGTAGTCAAAATGACAAGACACTGGGTGTGGGGAGAAATATGCAAAAATTTAATCAAATCTCAAAATTATTGGGGGGTGGGTTTCCTTGGCGGCTTCGCCAGAATGGGTGAAAGCAGAGTTGAGAATTTAAATTTTCCCCCCCAAAAAAGACTACCGGAAAATCAAAACAAAAAGTGAAACCTAATGTCTTAAAGATTAGATTATTATCCCTCAAAGGGTATATATCTCTAAGAAAACTCAAAAATAATCCGACCAAAACTTCGAGAGGTTGAAAAATTTCCGACCATTTCCATCATTTCCAAACAAAAAACCGAAAAACCATTGAAAAATCAAAAATCGATGTAAAAATTAAAACCGACCAAATTTCATATTAAAAAAAATCCGACCAATTTTGAGCAGATGCTAAGAATACGTCTTCAATCAAAATATTTATAACCAAACATTGCGTTTTTTTATAAAAAAGGTGGTTTGAATGAAAAATTAAAACCGACCAATTTTGAGTTGTAAAAAAACTTTCGACCAATTTTGAGCAAATGCTAAGAAAACGTCTTCAAACAAGATATTTATAGCCAAACATTACATTTTCGTAAAATAAAAGATGGCTAAATTAAAACCGACCAATATTGAGTTGTAAAAAATTTCGACCAATTTTGTGGAGATGCTCAAAAACTTCTTTAATAAAGATATTTATAGCCAAACATTACATTTTCGTAAAATAAAAGTTGGCTTGAATGTCTAAATTAAAACCGACCAATTTTGAGGTGTAAAAAAATACTTCGACCAATTTTGAGCAGATGCTAAAAAACTTCTTCAAATAGGATATTTATACCCAAACATTAAATTTTTGTAAAAAAAAATGTTGTCTTAAGTGACAAATTAAATCCGACCAATTTTAAGTTGTAAAAAAATACTTCGACCAATTTTGAGCAGATGCTAAGAAAACTTCTTCAATCAAGATATTTATACCCAAACATTACATTTTCGTAAAATAAAAGATGGCTTGAATGACTAAATTAAAACCGACCAAATTTCACTTTTAAAAACTTCTTCAATAAAGATATTTATAGCCAAGCAATACATTTTCGTTAAAAGCAAGTTGACTTAAATAATAAATTAAAACCGACCAATTTTGAATTGTAAAAAAATAATTCGACCAATTTTGAGCGGGTGCTAAAAAAAAACTTTCAAACAAGATATTTATACCCAAATATTACATTTTCGTTAAAAAAAAAGTTGGCTTGAATGACTAAATTAAAAGCGACCAATTTTGAATTGTAAAAAAATAATTCGACCAATATTGAGCGGGTGCTAAAAAAAGCATTCAAACAATATATTTATACCCAAACATTACATTTTCGTAAAAAAGTGGTCTTAAATGACTAAATTAAAATCGACCAATTTTGAGTTTTATAAAAAAATTTCCGGCCAATTTTGAGCAGATGCTAAGAATACGTATTCAATCAAGATATTTATAGCCAAACTCACTTTTTTTTTTAAAAAAAAAGTTGGCTAAAATGGCAATTTAAAACCGACCAATTTTGGGTTGTAAAAAAAATTTCGACCAATTTTGAGGAGAT